TTGGCCAGAATGTAAACACAGTATTGCTCACACATCATGAATGTATAAGGGCTTGTTCACACCAAGTGCGGAGCAGATCCGGACCAGAGCAGGTGCAGACCGGATCAAAACTGCGTCCAATGTATTCCTATGGTATTTTGACCTCCAGTTCACATCGCAGCGTGCGGATCCAGACCAGATGAAAAAAATGCGGCAAGCCCTATTTTACCTGCTCTGGATCTGGTCTGGAACGCAGCAAAAACGCATCTAAAATGCAAAAACGCATCAAAAACACATGCAAGTGCCTGAAAGTCAATGTTAAACTTTAAAAAAAAAAAAAAATGTTTTACCAAAAGCGGCCCTAAACGCATCAAAAACGCGTCTAAAACGTGTCTAAAACGCGGCACAACCCACTACACTGCGTGTGCAGAAACCTGACCGGATCTGGTCTGCATTTGGTGTGAACAAGGCCTAAATGTATTTTGTGTTTAACCTGTAAGTATAAGAAAATGTTTACGTTTTAGATTTATTTTGTTTTGTGTTATGGCATCACCTCAAAAATCCCCATCCTGTGTTACATATAACTAGCTATCCTATTCCTTTCAGGGGGTGACGTACCCATAACTATGGGCACCTGTGTGGGGGTTAGGAGGAGGTGCCCTATACATACTACTATAAGTATCACAGGAAGCGAGGCAGCACCGGAGGGAGCAGAGTCGCATAAGCCGATGCCTCCCCTATAGCGCCGGCTCCTGCCACAGGTGGAGTAATACCAAATGCACTCCGGCCTGTGAGAAATTCATAAAAAGTGCGCTTTGCTCATTCTGGCCAGTGATTGGTTAGCAAATTGCTCTTGGAAAGGTACGGCACCCGATTGCCCTGATCACCATATTTTTCTACATGAATACATATAGACTGTTGTACATGAATAAGAGTGGATTGTTGTACATTAAAAAAAATTTAAAAAATAATACCTACCCCGAAAATAGGACCTAGCGTGTTTTTTTGAGCCAATAAAAAAAATATAAGGCAGTGTCTTATTTTCGGGGAAACACGGTATATATCAATCACACACTTTTCTTTGTATTCACATTAAAACCAGGGCTGCGACTAACGATTATTTTCATAATCGATTAGTTAGCCGATTATTTTTTCCATTAGTCGATCAGATTTAAAAAAATATATATTTTATTTAAAATTAAATACACAAAGTTTGTCAGAATACAATTGCATGCACAATTTTTCACTTGCACCACACTGGAACGCACAGCATTGCATGTCTTCCTCTGCTGAATGACAGCATGCTATTGCAATTTAAAATAGCCAATAGCAGACTGGCTGTTTCCAGCCGCTAATGCCGGCTTTCTACTGCCAGCAGAAAAGGGGGCACAGGGAGCTGCGAAGTGACATGGGAACCAGCGGAGGAACGCAGAGGCACCAGCGGTTGCAGTGGTCTGTGTCCCCACTGCCTCTACCGATACATGCGGGGTTGAAAGGGACACAGATTTCTGCAGCTGGCATCAGGGGGGAGGAGAACAGAGAAGCAGAGTGGCCGCTGCGGATTCAAATAATCAAACCAACTAAATCGATGAGGAGATTTGACAACGATTCTCATTATCGATTTAATCGATTAGTTGTTTTAGCCCTAATTAAAACAAAAAAGTTTTTTGCAATACATGTTCTAAATCTCACCACCACATACAAAATATTAATGACACATCACTGATGAGACTACCTCCCACTGCCTCCCTCTGACTACTCACACTGGATTCACAGAATGAATTATTTGAATATCATGTGGGTTGCTCGTGTTCTGGGTAACGGCTGAGCATGTGAAGACCCGTCCATCACCCATACACAAGTCACCAAGTTATCTCCACTCCACAAACACCTGGCTTTTACACTGAACTCCTAATCCCCGCTGTGTACACCAGTGCAAGACACAGGAGTGACCGTGCAGGATGAGGAATACCATTCAATCAACCTCGTTACAATCATTAAAGATAATACAAATATTTCAAATCCTACAATAAATTATAATATTAAAATGATGACATGAAACCCTGTATGGAGGAAACTGACAGTAATGTTATCTATGAAATCAAGAACAAAAACCACACTGAGGGGAATGTATCAAAACTGGAGCAAACAGAATCTGGAGCCGTTGCCTATGGCAACCAATCAGAATCTCTTCAGTTTGCTCAGGTAAGATTTGAAAATGAAAGAGAAACCGATTGGCTGCAGTGCAAATGTGCTCCAGATTTTGTCTGCTCCACATTTGATAAATTCTCCCCATTATTCCTTGTGTGCAAATCATAACCGCCCAGCAGATACAGAATAAAAACCTGACAAGGGTCCCAACCCTTTCCCTTCTCTATCCAACACAAAAAGCAGGTTTGGCTATACATGCACTAAGCCCCCATTCACACCTGAGCATCAGGGTGCTGCACGTCCACAGGTATTTGTTTCCCGTGTTTGGTGCACATCTCCATCGATTTCAATGGGTTCCTGGACACGGCACAAAGAAAAAAGGTAGGAAAATACTGAATGGAGCAAGTTCTGCAACATGCATTTGCTTGGCCGCGTTTGGGGTGCCATTAACTAGTAATGGTAATACAAGCACATTCCACGTTTGTGCATTTAGTGAACGCACATCAAAAAGCATGCATTTTTCTGTGTGTTCATGATACACTCAGGTGTGAATGGGGGCTCAAAGGGGGGGGTGTCACTTCAACCATGAAATCGGTCCTTGACTATATGCAAAATTCGCTATATAACTTTGCTGATCCCCTCCTCCTCCTTACAACTGAAATGCTGTAAAATCACAGAAACTATGCCAGCGAGAGACCCAAAGAGAGGACTGGTGAGTATATCCGTCTTCCCAAGGTAAGAAAGAAAAGGCAAAATAAGATACAGGATGGGTAAGATGGGGTGGGGGGGCAGAGGTTCATATGTTGCCCGGATGGGCTTCAAAGGAACAGGCACACTTTTGCTGGATACAGACAAAATAAGTCACGATACTAATTTGTATTGAGATTTTCGTCCATCACCGGAGTGAGCTTGGAGTGGTGACTACTTTACTACTTTACAACACACACAGGGACCATGGGGAACAGAAGTAGTCACCCTCCAAAAGGAAGGACAGTGTCAGCACCAATTCAGAGATGATTTGAGGATCTACAGCCAAGTGATACACAAATAAGATACATTTTTGTTAACAGTTAGGGCACTTGAATGTATTTTTAAGATTTAAATCCGGAGTTTAGAGTCACTTTAAATTGGAACAATAACAATGTAATACTTATTTTCTGTGAGACCCATCAGAAGGTTAAAAAAAAAAAAAGAAAGCCTGTGTAAACCAGCGTGAGCGGCCTTGTGAACGGACCCCATGGTGGAGAACCATAAATAGCAGTTATAAAGCGCGGCCCATAAATGCCTATATACAGAAAGCATGGGGCTGTACCCAGCAATAGGACAGATACAATCCAGAAAGAGAACCGCCACCTAACATGACATCGGGGTCAGACACAGAGGATCTAAATGTATATCACATATAGTACACTCATTGAACAGATTCAGCAAATGTGTATGTCACACTCCGGTAGATAATAAACGTATATGCCGGGGGTAGACAACCTCAGCACCCCAGCTGTTGTGGAACTATAGGTCCCATGAGGCATTGCAGGACTGACACCCATAGGCATGCCTCCCAGAGGTAATATGGGATTTGTAGTTTTACTACAGCAGGAGTGCCACAGTTGCCTGCCCCTAGTATAGGCTATAATCAGATACATGAATGTATACGCTGTATTCAGGAAGCAAAGATATATGCAACACTCGGATACATAGGAAATGTATACGCTGTATGCACCATATAATAAATGTATACACCATATTCATGGAGATCAAAGATTTTTGTGACAGGAGACTGTTATTATAAAAGTAAACTTTAGGTTACATGTTTTTTAGTTTTGGATATAGGGGCCCTCTGTCAAGTTCTAATTGCTCTCTAGATTTGCCCCTCTGTGCTGGTGACCACTGTCATGGAAAAGAAAATAAGGGGGAAATCCAAAATTTTAGCATCGTCTCCATCACAAGAAGAGGAAATGGTCCAACAGGGACACTTGTTGCGGGGGTAACTAAAAGGGGAATTCCCCTCTATTGCAGAAGTTTCCACTTGCTTCCTGTTGCAGCTTTGGGACAGGAAGTGAAGGCAAATTCTCCAAATGGGGACACAGACAGCAACAAAACATAACCTGGCAGGGGATTTAAAGAGGTCTCAGTTACTTTTTTTAGTTGGGTCTGCCACCCCCCGGAACAAAACGCACGTGGCACTATGTCCCATCTTTCCAGGTGCTGTATAAGCTGAGCCAGCAACCCTCCGCCACCAATCATCCACAACGCTACAAGGTGATGAATACCAATGGACAGCGTTAGTCTCTGGCTCCACGCTGGTTCTTGCAGCCGGTCCCCACGTCCTCAGATGGTCCGGCTGTGTGAACCAAGATGAGACAGCCGGCTCCTGATGACTTCAAAGAGGAAGCAGCGGGCGCGGGATGTGGCGTGCAGAAGCGGATTGCTACGGAACACCACTGGATTTGGGAGTATGTTTATTGAACAGAACCCAGTAAACCAGATAAAGGGGGACTGGAACACAAAACCTAAACTGGGGAGGGGGGTGAGGTTCCCCTTTAATCCTTTCCTACTCTACCCATAACTTGAGATACATCCAAGTCAGGGGTAGGCAACTCCAGCTGTGCTTTACCTACAAATCCCAGCATGCCTCTGCCACTGGGAGTCATGTCTGTATCTGTCAGTCTTGCAATGCCTAATGGGACTTGTAGTTCTACAGCAGCTAGAGGGCCAGGGTTGGGTCTGTCCACACAGTATAGATGTGGAGGCTGCTGGGAGCTCCTATAGGGGAAGACACGTGCAGTATACACACACGTGTTCTCTATGGAGTAGTGCCATATATAGGCCGCAGACTGTCCCCAAAATATACCCCACACACCGGCTCTCACCATAACAAGGAGATGAGGAGGAGGCAGCCTATCAGAACCAGCCGCTTCGTCATCTTTCCCCAGCGCCTCCTGGCATCCTCGCCGGCATCTCCGGTGCTTTGTCAGGAAAGGCGAGCGCAGGCCGCCCGTACAGCGGGACACCGATCACCTCCCCCTCAGCCCCTCGGCGGGTGGACACTCATCCAACGCGGCCGAGACCCAGCGAGCGCCTCAAACTACACGTCCAGCTGAGGTGGAAGGAGACGCGTCATTCGACTAAGCGTTGGCCAATCAAGAACGGGCCTCCGCGTCCTCCCCCCCTCACACATTGGTTTGTCCCGAACGTGGGCGGTGCCACTCAGCCCTTCGCAACAACAGAGCTTGTGTGGAGCTGGCAAAGCAGGAAGCTGGGTCGGAGCCCGCCCCCCCGGCACGGAGAGGGTTACTGGCTGTCATCAGTGATGAGTGACTCCCCAGGAGCGAACCACAAGGGCGGCCCGGAGAGGGGGGGGGATCACTCGCATTATAAAATAGTTCAGTCGGTGACAGTTCACAGCGACCTTTGAATGACACAGGGGCAGCTGGGGATTAGAGCGGGATGACTTCATATCCCGAGCAGTGCAGCGCTGATAAGCTTCCTGCGCAGGAGAGCGAGCACTCGTCTGTCTCTGATGGAGTTATGTTGTGTTTTGAAGTTATAAAAGTACTCACAGACATTATTACAGCGATAGAACACTGAGACCAAAGTCACCAAATCAGTCATTTCACCAAGCAGCTTCCCATTGGATATGTGCATTGGAAGCCATAGTCCAGCTATAATAATAATCAATGCACACACATTAATAAAAGGAAAACAAAGTGCATTTGTTATATTTCTGTATTGGGGCCAGGAAAGCATTGCAACCGACATCAGAGGATCACAGATACAATGTTCTGACTCTATCAGACCCTTTCCCTCAGCCCCTGCCCATATAAAGGTACAGACATTCAGTACCATGGACCACTACACTTGTATTCCATTGAGAACTACAAATCCATCTGCTGGCAGTATCCGATGGGACTTGTAGTCTCTCCATTAACAGATCCTGTGTCGGCTGTAAGGAGGGAGCCACACACACAGTCACTCCAAATGTAAATAATGACAGGTACCTGTGGGGAGAAGAATCCTGCGGTTCAGGTAGGTGGGGGTTGTCAATGTGACCCTGTTTCATGTTATACCCCAAATATGAGTGTAACAGGTCTAAAAAGTCTTGACTTCCGTCGAACGAGCCTAGCAAAAACTGCTGAACCGTCACTATTCGGGTATCCTGACAGCATCAAATCCGCCGCTGTCAGAATATTATTATTATACAAGATTTATATAGCGCCAACAGTTTGCGCAGGGCTTTACAATGTAAGGAAGACATTACAATCACAATGCAATTCACGACAAGATGATAAGGAGGGCCCTGTACAATAGACTGGTGGATGTCTCCACCCCCGCTCTCACAATAAGGGCCTGTTCACACCGGGGCGGTTTGGTCTTGCGGATCTGCCGACATGAACGATCCCATAAATTGCTATGGGGACTGTTCATGCGACCGCGGGTGTACACGCGATCCGAACTGCCCCCCGCCCGAATTGTTCCTCTCTGACCCTTTTTTGCCGTACTGAGCAGTGCGGTTTCCATACAGTCCATGGAACCGATCTTTTCAGGCCGTTTTTAGACATTTTTAATTGCGTTTCAGCGTTGACTTTTGTCTTGCGATGGTTGTAAGGTACTTAAAAAAACGTACGATCTGCCTATGTTGCATAGGCAGATCGTACTTGCGATGATCGCAAGCCACGCCCCCTGAGGGGCGGGCTTCCGATGACCGCAATGCCGAACGGGCAGTGTGCGCTTGCGCACACCGGCCCGTGCGGCTGTTATCGTACGGACATGCCACAAACCCGCCGAACATCGTACGATGCTCGGCGGGTTTTCAAACATGTCCGTAAGTTTAAAGTCGTGCGACCTTACAGTAGTAGAGGTCGCACGGCTTCCACACACCTTACGAACATCGTACGATCGCGGGATTTCCCGCGATTATCGTACGATAATCGTAAGGTGTGTGGGCACCCTAAGTGGGATCAGAGAATAAGGCCAGGTTCACACTTGGGCAATCTGTGACCGTGCGGCAATTGTGCACAAAACCACACGGATGGCTGTGCGGTTGAGAAGTCGTACACCACCGCTGATCGCGCTGGTTATTACCCCCCACTGCAAGGGTTAACTGCTTGTTCCTGTCTAGGTGCTTCAAAAAAGTTATGCTCACTGGATCATTCGAGCGTGGCTTGCTCTTAGTCTGATCCCCGGCACCTTTCTCCCCCTCCTCCGCAGCGGTCTAAAAGGTGTCCATACACCTTACGAATATCGGCCGAATTTCGTTTGCGATCGCATTTTCGTCCGATATTCGTAAGGTTGATGGGGAGTGTACAACTGCAAATACTGTACAATCGTACAACATTCGTCTTTCCAGCATGCTAGGAAAACTTCGGTCGATCGTACGCTTTTTGCAAGGTTGGTGACGTTTCCGTACGTCATAATTCATACGATTAACACTGCTCATGCGCAAACGAAAATCTGTGCGGTCGATTAACGAAATTCGTCCAAGTGATTTCTGCTATAGACCGCTAATTTAACTATGCGATGATTGGGGCAGTATGGGGCCGCCGTACGAAAATCGGACGATGGTTCGATCATTGAACGAAAATTTTCGTCCGATGATTGCAAGGTGTATGGGCACCTTAAGAATTAGGGTGTCATCACGTTCTATACACAGTGTATAGGTGTCGGGACTCTGAGAAACATTCCGGGCTAGTTCACAACACAAACAGTGCGTTCCAGTTGGATTTGGTGCATGCAGCATTTTTTGTGACTGGACCGGAACGAAGGCATTGATGTTCAACGAGATCAAGAGCGGGCGATCGCACTGGGGGGCGGTGCCATTGACTTAAATGCACTGCCATGCCCCTGAGGGAGCCGGCCAGTATGCGATCCAGTGCGTTCCAGCACCAAATCATGCCGGAACGCACTGTCTGTGTGTTCCCTCCATCTGTGCAGAGGAGGAGGAGACGCTTCAGTGACCGGAGCAGGGAGTTGGGTGGGCAGTTCAGGTGAGTATAACTTTTTTTTAAGCACCTACACAAAAACAAGCAGTTAACCCTTACAGTGCAGGGGTAGCCCCACTGCAAGGGTTAATAAAATTGTTCCCACCGGGGTTCTTCTTTAAGGATAAATAACTTTTTCAGGCATCACACTGCAGACTACATTTTTATGAATGAGCCGTAAAATGCAGACCGCAATGTATGTACCCCAGCAGAGTATAGCAAATAGCAACATCTGCCCTCTATTATTAATGGGCCCCTAAAAGACTGTCACAGGTCGGCTCAGTAGATCCGGAGGTGAGCGAACACATACCGACGTTCGCTCACCTCCCGATCCTGTCACGGCTCTCTGCCGTGACAGGGGAGGGGCTGGATTCCCCGCTCCGATCCGCCAGCGCTGACTGGCGGAACGGACGGGGGAGGTGGCGGGTACAGCTGGCTCTGCCTCTAGATAGGCAGAGCCAGCTGTCAGTCACGCAGCTGGGCGGATCCCGGCACAATTGTCGGGATCCGCTGCGGCGTCACAGTATATCGCGAGCAGCCGCTCGCGGTATACTGCTGCGTCTCAGTATACCGCGAGCTACAGCTAGCGGTATACTGAGCCTAGGGTGACGGGAGGACGCTAGTTTGTGTCCTCTCGTTACCCTAAGGAGAACTATGGGGAAAAGACTTAACCCCATAGTTCTCCTTTAAGGTTATATAACAGCAGATTTGACTTGTATATAATGATTTCTGTTTATATCTGACATTTATAAAGCAGCAAATGTTACTTTCACCAAACAGATTCACCCAGAAACTTTCTCCAGGAATGACTGCACACAATTATGTGTGAATTCCCATACTGCTCATTTGCCTGAACTCACATTCATCAATCCATTGTGCATTCACCTGATAACATTGTTTGTATTTCTTGGCATCCGGCCTCTGCAGTGCGTACTGGCAGGCGTGATACATTCTGGTGGATGTACCTGTATTTGTGTAACCATTATGAACAGGCTCCTGGAATACAGAATTATATACAGCACTGGCAAAGTCTATCTAAGGGCTCATGCACACGGTTGGATGTTTTATTTTTACCAATCTGAACGCAGGTGTATTGTTTTCTATAGGCCCAGCAAAGGGGGTAGAAATCAGTAAACTTGCATTGTGTTCAGATCCCTAAAATCAAAATAGAAAAATCTGTATCTGAGGAGCTGTGTATGACCGTATGTTATGCTGTATGCTTGGGCTAAACGAAACAAACACCCCAAAACAGTGTGGCTGGGGGAATCCCGCCGCTGGGCTATTGTCTAACCAAGCTGGAAGTCCCGCTCCTATTGAATTTCTGTGACCATTGTGGCTGTAGCGCCACAGTCCTTATACCGCTCTTATCCTGGCCAATTACAACGCAAGTGACCCCAGGCTTCATTTTGTGATTGGCCAGGAGGAAAAGGGGGGCTGCAAAGGGACTGCAGCCCTGTGGTCTATGAGACCTGCAGTGCTACAGCCAGAGCGGGCATGGGAGTTCAGTAGGAGCTGGACTTCCATCCACAAGTATAGCTGATGAATTGAGGAGAGTAGAAGCCAGTAATAAATATGGCAGGTGTGTTTAGGCACCGCACATCGTACTGAACTCCAGTAAGATAATGGTGCCCGGAGTTGTTCTCTACTTTCCATTTTAGTTGATGTCATTAGCGTAGGTGGTAGTACTGCCGATTCCATGTGACAACATTTTCAGGTTTTCATACAGGTTGGTGGCAGGGTGCAGTGGCGTCACTAGGTGGGTGCGGCCCTTACCAGGGCAACACCATTGGAGGGGTGACACTAAAATGACTGACAAACATTTTAGTGTCACCCCCTCTGAAAAGTCGGGCACTCGGTCATGGACCGAGAGCGTGTCAGTTGCACGAGAGAGGAGGGGGCCCGGCAGGATAAGGTGAACGTCCCCTCCTCTCTGCCAGCGTCCATCACCAAGATGGCCGCGCATGCGCATGACATCATCGCGCACATGCTTGATGACTGCACTTGCGTGATGTCATCTCTGAGCTTGATGAAGGGGACCCTGCATGGCCCCGAAAGTGCTTGCAACCAAGAGACAGCAGGCGTCAATAAATGAATACTTGATGCAGTCATTGATTTGGTGTGCTGGTGACGTTCTTCAAATATCTACATGTGGTGGCGCCATCCGCAGTCATTTCGAGCACCTGTTTGTATATCCTTATGGGAATCCCGGTAAGGAGTGCAGCAAGTATCCTCCTTTTTTTTTTCTCCTTTTTTTAATGATGTTATACATCACGGCGGGGTGTCAACTGGTATCCCCCGCTCCTAAAGATAATTTGAAAAAAAGTAATAGGTGGCAGTAATCTTATTTCTTTACTGATGTATTTCTATGTGTTTTGGACTCCTGCCTATTTATCACAGGCAATATATACCATATTTTGCGGTCCATAAGACGCACTGGACCATAGGACGCAGGGAGGTCCGGCGCGCCTTATGGAGCACTCG